GGAGGACAGTCACGCTATCTCCGACCTGAAAATAGAGGCGGAGGGAAGATTTCCCGGTCCCCCTGGGACACTGACGACACACATGCACACACACATACACACACATACACATAGACACACACATACACATAGACACAAACACACACACACTTTGACACTGACGCCATGAGGAATGGGCTCTGTCAGGAAAGGAGATAGTGGGAGAGAGGTTCGCCCTAGGCCTGAGTGATGCGATAAAAGCAAGATGGCATCACAGAGTCTAACATGTTGCCTCAGACAGCAGCCATTGATCACACACACACACACACCATGAATAAAACATGCTGTCCCTGAGAGAGAAAGTCAACTGTCAATACCTGAAAGCATTTCTATCGCCTATCACATAAGGATAAGATACAGGTTATCCATAGTATTGTTTTTTACTGATGAGCTTAATGGTAAATGTTCTCCATATCTGTATGATTTATTATAGACATTATTATCCTTCTTGGATCATTAATGCATTATTGGTATTTACAGCATTATCTGTTTTATCTTACACATATCTCGCCGATAACCCAAATGATTTAATCATAAGTAAAGTTATGGAGACACAAAGAGAGCGTCCCTCTCTCTAAGCACCCTGGGAAAGGATGTTGACTTTAATCCAGCTTGTTAGGAGAAAACTAGTTGATGAAAGAGCAGAAAATTAAAAACAATGTTTTCATAAAGCTGCCCTAATCTCACTCATTTGGCTTTGGCCCAGTAAAGTAAAGTCACCAAGTGCAACAGGAAGTCATTATACGTTAACATATGGCTGTATGGAGGAAGACACCTAGCACACATGCACACAGTGGTGGAAAAAGTACTCAATAGTCATACTTGAGTAAAAGTAAAGATACCTTAATAAAAAATTACTCAAGCAAAGGTGAAAGTCACCCAGTAAAATACTACTTGAGTAAAAGTCTAAAAGTATTTGTTTTTAAATATAGTTAAGTATCAAAAGTAAATATAATTGCTAATATATACTTAAGTATCAAAAGTAAAAGTATAAATTATTTCAAATTCCTTATATTAAGCAAACCAGAAGGCACGATTTTCTTGTTTTTTTATTTATTTACAGATAGCCAGTCCGCCAGATCAGTAAAATACAGATACCCCCCAAAAAACTACTTAAGTAGTACTTTAAAGTATTTTTACTTAAGTACTTTACACCACTGCATGCACACATGCACGCACGTACACACACACACACACACACACACACACTAGCCTCCACTATTTTACAAAGAAAAACAGGTTGAATTCCACTGTTCCAACCATCAGCCATCAAACAAACACTAATTACTGACTTCCCTGATGAAAACATTGTCTGCTTCCCAAATGGGAGGGGAACAGGGAGGGAGAAAGAGAGAAAAAAAGAGAGAGAGGGGAGGAAGAGAGGGAGAGAGGCAGTGCAGGGCTAAGGTCTGATGTCAGACGCTAAAACAACTTGCTCAGCCATATCCTGTTTTCCTATGGACCCACACGTCCCCGTTCAGTGGTCAGCAGCCGTCCAAATGTGTTTTCAATTATCCATGGTCAGTGGGATGAAGGGTAGAAATGTTCAGCACTCTCGGGGTATGTCCCAAATGTCACCCTATTCCCTACATAGTGCACTACTTTTGACCAGGGCCCTATGTGGGAATAGGGTGCCATTTGGGACACAAACTTCTCTCCATTGTCTTTGTCAATGAGAGCTCTTCAAGCTGCTGGGTCTGTCTTGTCGTCATGCCAAAGGATGAGTAATTAGAATAATGGGCTTGTAATTAACATCAGCTTCTCTCTGTTGATGAAGTCTGGCTAAAGGAAAGTGGAAGGAGGCTGGTATTTGGCTGCCCTGTCAGATCTACTATACGGTTTAAGCTCCCGACTCCGGACGACACATGCCCACTGGCAACGGGGGTTTGAGCCCTGTCTCGGCCACTCTGTCAATGTCAATCTACACTGTCTCCCTATCTACCTTCATACTGTACTGTCATTAAAAAAGATCCACTGTACAGTATCTAGGCCTACGCTATAGACCTGACATCCTCGTGACTGAAACATACTGTACTGTATCATAGAATGGTCATCCATAGACTAGGCTGCTCCATATCCTGTACCAGGCTTGTCATTGACATGTCCTGATGAAGTCATTCTCTAGTCAGTTCCTTCCTGAGGTCTAGTTGCTTTGTTTTCTCAAGGACAGTGGCCATTAGTCAATCATCTGTGGTAACTGTGTAACCAACCATGGAGGTCAAAATGGTTACCTCCCAAATTCTCTATTTAGTGCACTACTTTTGACCAGGGCCCACAGGGCCCAAAGTAGTGCACTATATAGGGAATAAGGTGCCATTTAGGATGCGTTCTATGTGTTTAGGATGATTCAATAGGTAGTAAACCCTTAAAAAAGCACCTGAAAGTAGGCTACTGTCTCAGACTGAAACCTGTAATCATGCCACGTCGTCACACACACACGCATGAAGGCACGCACACACACACCCTTTATTTTATGTCATCATCATACCTGCACCCCACGTTAGACCCACCCCCATCACACATCATCCCTCTTTGTCAAGATAAAATAGATGATCAACCGCTCAGGAAAGACGTGCATAATTTAACAGCACAAATGGCTAAAAATATGCCCGTAATTATGTCAGGTAAACCCTGTGATGAATGGAAGGTCTGAGAAGGAGCTCATAGGTCTCACAGCATTACAGCGTCTTTGTGGTAATCCAATTTTCATGAAAGAGGAATGAATTATACTTTAGGCTAATGGATTTTTTAAAAGCCCAAACAAATATAAAAATATAACACCATCCAGTCAGGTGCTCTACATGGAATTAGAGGAAGAGGCCAATGCTGATGGATCGCTATCTCACACTGTTCAGAAGTACTGTAGCCTGGTCCCAGATCTGTTTGTGCTGTCTTGCTAACTAGTATGGTCACGCAAACAGTGATAATGACCATTGGCAAGACAGCACAAACAGATCTGGGACCAGGCTAGTTTAGAAGTACAGTACCTGAACATGTGAGGTAACTGTTTGTTTGTTCTGGATGGCCACAATCTCCCGAGCCTGAGATCTACTGTAGGAAACCTGGGAGACTGCCTCTGTCTGGTCTATGGCTACCAGCTGGTGTTTGACTTTGAAACACATTAAGAGAATTCCCCCTCTCTGTGTGGTGATCAGTGATGTTCTGTGTTTGTTGTTTTGAGAGAGAGAGAGAGAGAGAGAGAGAGAGAGAGAGAGAGAGAGAGAGAGAGAGAGAGAGAGGAGAGAGAAGAGAGAGAGAGAGAGAGAGAGAGAGAGAGAGAGAGAGAGAGAGAGAAGTTTCTCGATTATTCATTCAGCCCACACACCAACAGATGGGAAGTCTATTTTTTTCCATTGCACAGAAAGCCCGTACTCTCTGGTACAACTTATTTTTATAAAAACTCTTCATGAGAACTGATTGTAGTATTCTCCCACCTGTTGAATTATGAGGTAGTCAAACAGTGACAAATTTTGTAGCTCAACGGTTGTTCTCTGATCTGAACACTGTGTTCCCCTCTGCTCCAACCAACCACACCCCACCCCTTGGCTCTGCACAACGCTCGCCTGACAGCCACAGAACAATGAGTAAACTGGAACCTCAGACAGTGATCCTGTACCAGAGTCAGAGTCCCAAATGGCACCCTATTCCTTATATAGTACACAACTTTTGACCAGGGCCCATGGGACTCTGGCCAAAAGGAGTGAACTATGTAGGGAATAGGGTGCCATTTGGGACGGAGACCCAGAGTTCAGTTGACTCACTCCACTATGGAGTGGATCTAATGACCAATGGATGAGGATTATGACAATGTCCGACACTGTCTGTGGTGATGATAATAAGAGGATGAAGTCATGTCATTGAACTTGAGGAACAACCCCCCTATGTTAATCTAATTGCACCAACATGTGGGCCTACAAGCTTGAGCAACAGCATTAATGCTGTTTCTTCTTTTCTGCTTCCATTAGTCAGCGTAATGACTGGATACACACACACACACACACACACACACACCAGTGGGCTAGGTGAGAGAACAGAACAGTATGCACCATTCCTTCAGTTGGAACAGGAACACAACTCTGAGAGAATGAGTGGGAAGAAGAGAGAGAAAACAGAGGAGAAAGAGACATTATTTCCCATTCATCAGGATACTGATGATGTGCTGTAATGGTCAGATTTTCTTAACGGGGCATTTCGTGGGAAAGGGTGTGTGTGTCCCTATAGATATGAATTACAACAGGGGACCAGATTGTATTGTGTCATTTGTCTCTGAGTGGGCAGCGCTCCAAACACACCCTGGCTTTCTCGAAAATCACAGTCGTAAAAAAATGTAAATGAAAATGAGCGTGTTTCTGTAGTGTCAGCACTAGTCTCAAAATACATCTCCTATTCAAGGACGTGGACGTGGTTTCTTTTACACTCTTTTACACAATGATTACATCACCCATTAACAATGATTCACACTTTTAGCCAATTCACTAAGAGTTCGATGGCAAATCATTTATCACCTAAAAATATATTTACCTGGCTTTGCTGCACACACCCACACACACTCCTCCTAGTTAAAAAAAAACTTCCAGCAGTAGGTTTGTTCAATTGGTAGAGTAGTTGGGTTTGGGTGAGCTATGCCATTCATGCCTCACACACCCACACACACTGCACACACACACCCACACACACTGCACACACACACACACTCCTCCGTCATTAATAAATCATGTGTCTCTCATTAGCACAGCCCTGTTATCAGGCTCATGTCTGTGAAATTAATCCAGTCTGTCTCTTCTCTCCATACAAGAGAACAGCCTTACAAGGCTCTGTCCTTCAGACCCTCAGACCCTCAGCCCCAGCCTGCTTCTCTTCTCTTCTCTTTTTTCTTTGTCTTCCTTTTGTCTCCTTTCTTCTGTTCTGTTCTTTCCTCTCCCCACCTCTCCCTCTCCCTCTCCCTCTCCTCTCCTCCCCAGACAGTACTCAGTGTACTCTCCAGCCATACATTTTTGAACATGCTCAGACTGGTCGTGAGGGATGAATCAGAGCTCTGGATGTCTGAGTCCATGGTCTGGAGGTACAGGGCAGAACATGGTGATCAGTTGACTGTTCACTGACTCATAAATAAGCATTTTGATGGAGACAGAAGGAACCATTGAGCCAGCCAATGACACAGCCTAACTGACTGACTGTGAGTGTTCATGAGTGTTCTCAATTATAGGGCTGGTGACGTTCTAATTCCATTATTCCATTACGACTAATGAGGGTCCAATCAGGAGGGTGATCCAATGCCAAGTCATCCCCTTCTCAGTAAGCCACTCTGTCATTGGTCCAGGGCAGCTGTGGAGCTGATGATGATAATTATGATGATGATGATGAGGAGGAGGAAGATAAACAGCAGGAGGAGGAGGGCTTGCCTCGCCTCTCTCCTCTCCTCTCTCATTTCCCCCCATCCAGACCACCCTCCATCTGTACTGGCACATTCTTCCTTCCTCTCACACCCAGCCATGCGATGGGGATTGTGACTTGTCTGTTATTAAAAAGGAATGCTCTGAAACAGGGGATTTGATTCTGTCTCTGTTTATGGGGCTAAAGAAATCTGGGGCTTTTTCCATAAGCCCAGTTGAGCTCCTAGGCAGGAACAAAAGTATTTTGTCTTTTTCACTCTTTTCTTTTTTTCTTTATCAATCCCTCGGCTCCAAATCCTCCCGAGCGAGCAGAGAAAGAAAGTCATATAAAGACCTTTATTCATGGTCTCCCCATCTGGTTTTATCCTTAGCTTTTGGATCTGAATACATTTTAAAGTAGACGAATGACAACGGCGTTGCCAATGTATTCACTGTTATATGCAGATGTGAGTCTGAGTCTTAGCTCTGAGATGTTAAGCATATGCGGTGGGGCAAGAGAGAGAGAGAGGAGCACTGTTCACTGTTCAAGGCTGTATGGATGGGTTAGGGTTAGGGTTAGGGCTGCATTGCCTGGCTGGTTGGCTGGTGCTCTAGTCGACTGGTTTAGGCTGGTTTTAAGAGGCTGATCTCCCCGGCTCTCTCTGCTGATCTCCCCGGCTCTCCCAAATGGCACCCTATTCCCTATGAGCCCTGGTCAAAAGTAGTGCACTACAGTGCCTTGCAAAAGTATTCATCCCCCTTGGCGTTTTTCCTATTTTGTTGCATTACAACCTGTAATTTTAATAGATTTTCATTTGTATTTCATGTAATGGACATACACAAAATAGTCAAAATTGGTGAAGTGAAATGGAAAAAATTATTTGTTTCAAAACATTCTAAAAAATAAATAACGGAAAAGTGGTGCGTGCATATGTATTCACCCCCTTTGCTATGAAGCCCCTAATTAAGATCTGGTGCAACTAATTACCTTCAGAAGTCACATAATTAGTTAAATAAAGTCCACCTGTGTGCAATCTAAGTGGCACATGATCTGTCACATGATCTCAGTATATATACACCTGTTCTGAAAGGCCCCAGAGTCTGCAACAAGCAAAGGGCATCACCAAGCAAGCGGCACCATGAAGACCAAGGAGCTCTCCAAACAGGTCAGGGACAAAGTTGTGGAGAAGTAAATGACTAAGTACAGATCAGGGTTGGGTTATAAAAAAAATATCCGAAACTTTGAACATCCCACGGAGCACCATTAAAGTGAAGCATGGTGGTAGCAGCATCATGCTGTGGGGATGTTTCTCATCGGCAGGGACTGAGAAACTGGTCAGAATTGAAGGAATGTTGGATGGCGCTAAACACAGGGAAATTCTTGAGGGAAACCTGTTTCAGTCTTCCAGAGATTTACATTTACATTTTAGTCATTTAGTAGACGCTCTTATCCAGAGCGACTTACAGTTAGAGAATACATTTTTATTTTTTTATACTGGCCCCCCGTGGGAATCGAACCCACAACCCTGTCGTTGCAAACACCATGCTCTATCAACTGAGCTACATCCCTGATTTGAGACTGGGACGGAGGTTCACCTTCCAGCAGGACAATGACCCTAAGCATACTGCTAAAGCAACACTTGAGTGGTTTAAGGGGAAACATTTAAATGTCTTGGAATGGCCTAGTCAAAGCCCAGACCTCAATCCAATTGAGAATCTGTGGTATGACTTAAAGATTGCTGTACACCAGCGGAACCCATCCAACTTGAAGGAGCTGGAGCAGTTTTGCCTTGAAGAATGGGCAAAAATCCCAGTGGCTAGATGTACCAAGCTTATAGAGACATACCCCAAGATACTTGCATCTGTAATTGCTGCAAAAGGTGGCTCTACAAAGTATTGACTTTGGGGGGGTGAATAGTTATGCACGCTCAATTATTCTGTTTGTTTGTCTTATTTCTTGTTTGTTTCATCCCAAAAATTATTTTGCATCTTCAAAGTGGTAGGCATGTTGTGTAAATCAAATGATACAAACCCCCCAAAAATCAATTTTAATTCCAGGTTGTAAGGCAACAAAATAGGAAAAATGCCAAGGGGGGTGAATACTTACACAAGGGAATACGGTGCCATTTGGGATGAATCCTTTGCTGTCACACACATCACATTCTGTAGTTGGTGTGGATTCAGTAATCTCCACGAGGCCCCGGCCACCATCCATCAGAGTCTTAAGCCTCCTCTCAATTCAACATCAAAGCTTCTCTCTCTCTCGCTCTCTCTCGCTCTCTCTCGCTCTCCACACAGCACCGTAACGAAGCAAGCCTTCGTTTGATTGAAACCCCTGCGTTTTTTATGCCATCGCATCACTCCTTATTAGCGTCAGCTTGGCCTGTCGGAGAGAGAGAGGCTATGGCCCGTTAAATACTAACAGTGCAGCGTAACCTCGCCCTCCGCTACTGGAGGCCTCTCCTACGTGCCCTCCTCTCCTCCGCCAGTTGCCCACCAGTCTTTCCTCTCCTCCTCCTCTGTTCTGGCTGGGGGGATGAGAGGCATGGTTTAAGTGGCCTCCATAGGGGCAGTCCAGCAGATGGAAGGCAAGTCAAGAGGACGACTGTTGTTTTTGTCTCTGCATGAGGGACCGGTGAGCCGAAACAGATATTTTCTGTCTTCTCTCTCAGAGTGGGGGCTACCGCAACTAAGAGGCCACGTCTGAACTGCTGAATCAATCCAGACCCAGACCAATAGAGCTCCAGCCCTGTTAGACAAGCTTGACGGGACATGGACCAGTCTATTTAAGGGGATCCATGGGGAGATGGGTGGTTCAGGTCAGGATGTCCTGGTTGTTCAAAGGAGTAGGTGTCCCACACGGACAGGCAGCGCCAGGAGAATGGGTCTGCTTCTTTCAGACAGACATACATACACGGTCATGGTAGAGAGAAAGCGTGATGCTAGACAGACAGACAGACAGACAGACAGACAGACAGACAGACAGACAGACAGACAGACAGACAGACAGACAGACAGACAGACAGACAGACAGACAGACAGACAGACAGACAGACAGACAGACAGACACACACACACACACACACACACACACACACACACACACACACACACACACACACACACACACACACTGTCCACAGTTCTGATAGAAAACAGTGTAACCGTTCTCTAACCTTGATGCTTGGAAAGCTCCTTCTCTTTAGTCTGTTCAGCATCACAGTCCTTTCAGCCGTATAGACTCTGTTCTGACTCCCTTCTTCCAATTGCCTCTTGGCCCTGTTCCCCCTGTCTGGCAGCCGGCTCGGGAAAATATAATAACCATCAGTAATGTTACAGCAGTTCATGATTACTTTATGATTACATAATTTTTTTATGCTACTATTTGAAATTCAATATATATCTTCTGTTTTGAATATTATGAGGAGGCCTATTCCATTCAATATTCACCTTTATCCAATAAGCTCTTGTCTCCCCATCACAGGAAATTAAGTTGTCCTGTTTTATTAATAGAATATAATTCTGTACTTCTGCTGTTTATTACATTTCAGTCATAGTTAAATGAGGTGCAGGCTAAAGGTGTTTTCCAATAGCAGGCTTGTATTTTTAACTATTTTATGTCATCAGTAATTGGACTTGCAGAACAGTACTCTTTGCACTAAACCCAAAGTCTTACTGTATGTACGGTATGTACGGTATGTACTGTATGTACGGTATGTACTGTATGTACTGTATGTGCCATTAAACTTTACTGACCATTCCCTGGACTCATTCAGGTGGACTTGGGTTTCCTCCGGTTCGTGTCAGCCATCGGAACACAGGGGGCCGTTTCCCAGGAGACCAAGAAGACCTACTGGGTCAAGTCCTACAAGGTGGATGTCAGCTCTAACGGAGAAGACTGGATCACACTGAAGGAGGGGTCAAAACAGAAGGTAAGAGAGATTACTCCTCACCCACTCTCTACCCCACTGCCTACCTCTTACGTTGCATGGTATCATAAGCACATCAACTTTTCCTATACTTCAGCACTGTATGTGGGGCGGCAGGTAGCTTAGTGGTTAAGAGCGTTGTGCCAGTAACCGAAAGGTCGCTGGTTCTAATCCCTGAGCTGACTAGGTGAAAGATCTGTCGATGTGCCCTTGAGCAAGGCACTTAACCCTAATTGCTCATGTAAGTCGCTCTGGATAAGAGCGTCTGCTAAATGACTAAAAATAAAAAATAAATAAAAATATGTATTACTGCAGTAATACTATAATAATGTATTAAGGCATCAACTCTAGTTAAGACCCATTTCTCAGGAGACCAACAGAGCTGTGTCACAATGGCCAACCAGACCCAGAAAGCCAGACATGTAAACTAACATTTACATTTTGGTCATTTAGCAGACACTCTTATCCAGAGAGACTTACAGTAGTGTCTATACATTTCCGTACTTTCAGCCAGAGTTGAATTGTGCTCTCCTCCTTAGTATTGGCTTGGAACTCTGCCTCAACCACACCATATCTCAACAAAAGGGGAATGCCCCTGGTCTGGTCTGGTCTGTGTTAAGTTCTGTCTCTGTGGAACAACGTTTTCCCCACCATACTATTAGGTTCTTAGCTTGATATGCTAATGCAGAGAGCGTTGTGTGAGAGACTGTTTACAGTGCATTACTACTGCCTCTCTCATGAAGACACTACAGTAGTCATTTAGTTGGATGAAGTCATTGTTTAGTGTGTGTCAGGCTCTGGTTAACAAAGCCTTTAATAAACCAGGAGTGACAAGGATGAATGGAATGGGGAGGAGGGAGAGAGAGAGAGAGAGATAGAGATGAAATGGAAAAGAGGAAAGGTTCCATGTTTGAGCAGCTGGTAGAGGTGGGTCATAGTGAAAGAGAGAGAGGGAGTGGGAGAGAGACTTGACCAACGATCGGACTGGATCTAACGATCGATCAGTGATCAGCCTGTGAAACAGACCAGAAGGCTCTCCGTCTGTAAACAAACCTCTCTTTGTGGGTGCTCACACTCCACAGGGCCATCAAGAGGTTCGTTTGACCGGTCTAAGGATCTGTGTAAACTGTAAATAGTCACCATTGTGTGTGTGTGTGTTTGTGTCAAAGTGTGAGTGTGTGCTAGTCACAAGGACAGCCACATTTTCCCCAGAGTGGTCAAAGCGGCTCTCTTTGTGCTTGTGCGTGTGTCTGTACTATATCCCCCTCCCCATGCCCCTCAGGCCCAATTATTTTACGACCTCTCCAAAGTACACAGTTTTCTTTTTAAAGCAAGGTGATGTGAAAAGCCCTGTCTCTCTGTTCCGGCCTCTAAAGTGCTTTTGTGAGTAGTGGGTCCCATTTACTAGGTGCTGAGCCTGCAGTTTGGAGCTTTAGCGTGATGGTGATGGTGCTAGCTAGCTGGAAAAAGCCATTTAATAGTTATTGGTGCGACAGAGACGCCAGAGAGAGAGAGGAGCGCCGACCGGCGTGACATATAGGAGAGTGGATGACTCATTTGACAACTATTATCCAGGAAACGGAGAGTGGGATGTAGGGACAGTGATAGAGAGGCTCTTGGGCGGACTAATGGTTCCATTGGCCCTGCTTGCTGGAGTTTTAGCGCTGCCACCATCACGTTCACTTCAGCCCAGATTAGCTTCACTACAAGCTACTGCTTGGCTAGCACTCTCCTGCCACGGGATTCACACCACCGTACCACTGGATGCCTACAGAGTGCAGAGTCAGAAAGGTCACACCGTCACTGTGAGACTTAGCCAGGGTGAGATGTGATGGACTGTAGGGTGTTGTCAGTGTGTGTGTGTGTGTGTGTATGTGTGCATGCATGTGTGAACGTGCGTGTCTCAGTTTGATGATACAACTGTAGGGAGAAGATGGTTGAAATTGTCACAATATTTGGTGCATTATGAACTGTGGTAAATATGGTTAATATAATACATGTATGATATCTAAGTATGAAACACTAATTTCCATATACTATACATGCTCAGGAAATGATACAGTATATAGTATATAGCCTAAAGACCATAGCCTAATACCAACATTGGAGGGAGGCTGACCTGAATATTGCCTGTGCCCTGTCATTGCTCTCTGTTTCTGGGGCACTATGTGAGGCGAGGGCCAAGGCCTCAGTTGGCCCAGTAGTCTCCTGGTGGCTCTACTACTACACTAAACAAACTCTGTGAATAATTAACATCTCCTCTCCTCCCAGGTTTTCCAAGGGAACACCAACCCCACTGACGTCGCCAGGACGATGCTTCCCAAACCCACGCTCACCCGCTTCATCCGGATCCGGCCTGTCGCCTGGGAAACAGGCATCGCTCTGCGCTTCGAGGTGTACGGCTGTAAAATATCAGGTCAGTACCATTATGTTAAATGTTTTATTCACGTCGGCCATGGAGAAGGAGAGTCCACAGTCCTTGGTAGCGGGCCGCGACGGTGGCACTGTGTTATCCTCAAAGCGGGCGAAGAAGGTGTTTAGCTTGTCCGGAAGCAAGATGTCAGTGTGGCTGAAATAGCCGAATCCACTCATTTGAAGGGGTGTCCACATACTTTTGTATATATAATGTAATACCATATAAGCCTACTGTAGCATAGTAGGCCTATAATACAGTATGTAACACCAAAAACACCTCCTCAGTCATTTCTTATCTGAAGCTGAAAAGTCAAATATTTTCCTCATGCGGCCAAACCTCAACAGTGCACGCACTACAGCACGATTCCCCAACTGGCGGTCCGCAGGGCCGCGGGTGGTTTTAATGTTCCAAATGTTTTGGGGGGGGGACATAAAATACTGTAAAAACACCTTGAGATCAGCTCCAAGTGATTTTAATTTGAGAAATCTGTTCCCAAGTATTCCCACGCATAATAGAGAGGCATGTGATCGTATACAAATGTAAGCAAGGTTTGAAATGATTATGTTTAAGCCAAATATGATATCTGTTTGGGATTTTTGCTGTCAATTTGCAGTCAAATGATTTGAAATTATTTTCCAGCCCCCCGACAATCCGTTCAAGAAAAAATCGTCCCGAGGCTGCACTACAGGCTTTCATTGAAACAAAATAGGCCTACAAGAAATGCTGATATACAGTGCCTTTTGTATGGCAACAAAATAGGAAAAATGCCAAGGGGGGTGAATACTTTCACAAGCCACTGTAGTAGTTTGTTAACACCATCTGCTTTAATTAGCTCGCCAAACAGTTATTCAAGAAGGTCTAAATGCATATTCCCATGAAACTGATTGAGATCAAATGATTGGCATGCAGTTTGGACATTTCAAAGGGAAAATTATCATTCACGATTGACGATTGACAGTGATAATGGCCTACCTCGAAATTAGGTATGCCTAACTTGGTGTTTGAGGTTATTAAAAATATAACATTTTGTTGAGACAAATTGGAGGATGCATTTTATGCACCTACTCTATAATGATATTTAATCTGTTATTATGTCATTTCATAATTTTTTTGCGCTCCCTAACCTAAAAAAAATAGCACTACACCACTGCTCCTCGGCTTTCTGAAGGCCATAGAGATAAACCAAGTATATCCCATATGCATTGGAGTCACGTCTTTCCTGACATTTTATAGATTGTTTCTAGCATAAAGCATTGCAGACTAAAGCTAATTATAAATCGCTTTATATAGTCAGGTCCCTTTAATTCTATATTACAATCAATTATATCAGTAGCAAGCTTTGGACCCCAGGAAAAGTAGCTGCTACCTTGGCAACCGCTAATGCGGATCCGGAATAAAATACCAACAAAAATAACTTCAGTCCTCCTTGTCATCTTCACGCTCTCCCTCTCAAACTGAACAGGACATCAATAGGCCTAGTCCGTGCGCACAAATATTGAATTTTTTGGACAAATTGACTCGCCTCCTGAAGTGCCACCATACACAGTACAGTACACCATACACAGTACAGTACACCATACACAGTACAGTACACCATACACAGTACAGTACGCCATACACAGTACAGTACACCATACACAGTACAGTACACAGTACAGTACACCATACACAGTACAGTACACCATACACAGTACAGTACGCCATACACAGTACAGTACACCATACACAGTACAGTACAGCCATACACAGTACAGTACACCTACACAGTACAGTACACATACAGTACCATACCATATCACAGTACAGTACACCATTACACCGTACAGTAACAGTACAGTACACCATACACAGTACAGTACACCATACACAGTACAGTACACAGTAACAGTACCCATACACAGTACAGTACACCATACACAGTACAGTACGCCATACACAGTACAGTACGCCATACACAGTACAGTACACCATACACAGTACAGTACACCATACACAGTACAGTCAATAGTTAGGCAGCACAATAGGGTCAATAAGAGCAGGGCTCATGATTGGGAACGCGTATCTCAAAAATCTAATCAAATCAAATTGTATTGGTCACATGCGCCGAATACAACAGGTGCAGACATCACAGTGAAATGCTTACTTACAGCCCTTAACCAACAGTGCATTTATTTTTAACAAAAAAAGTAAAAAAATAAAACAACAACAAAGAAAGTGTTGAGAAAAAAAGAGCAGAAGTAAAATAAAATAACAGTAGGGAGGCTATATATACACTGCATTACACACTACATCTACTGCAGTGTGTAATGCAGTGTAGCCTAGTTTTATATACAGTGCATTCGGAAAGTTTTCAGACCCCTTGACTTTTTCCACATGTTCTTACGTTACAGCCTTATTCTAAAATTGATTAAAAATTTTTTTTTACTAATCAATCTACACACAATAGCTCATAATGACAAAGCAAAAACAGGTTTTATGAAATTTTAGCAAATATATTAAAATGAAACAACAGAAATACCTTATTTACGTAAGTATTCAGTCCCTTTGCTATGAGACTCGAAATTGAACTCAGGTGCATCCTGTTTCCATTGATCATCCTTGAGATGTTTCTACAACTTGATTGGAGTCCACCTGTGGTATGTGCAATTGATTGGACATTATTTGGAAAGGCACACACCTGTCTATATAAGGTCCCACAGTTGACAGTGCAAACCATCTCAATTTGGTTGAGGTCGGGGGATTGTGGAGGCCAGCACTCTCCTTCTTGGTAAAATAGCCCTTACACAGCCTGGAGGTGTGTTGGGTCATTGTCCTGTTGAAAAACAAATGATAGTCCCACTAAGCCCAAACCAGATGGGATGGTGTATCGTAGCTTTGCTGGTTAAGTGTGCCTTGAATTCTAAATAAATCACAGACAGTGTCACCAGCAAAGCACCCCCACACCATAACACCTCCTCTTCCATGCTTTACGGTGGGAAATACACGTGCGGAGATCATCCATTCACCCACACCGCGTCTCACAAAGACAAATTTGGACTACAGACCAAAGGACAAATTTCCACCGGTCTAATGTCCATTGCTCGTGTTTCTTGGCCCAAGCAAGTCTCTTCTTCTTATTGGTGTCCTTTTGTAGTGGTTTCTTTGCAGCAATTCGACCATGAAGGCCTGATTCACACAGTCTCCTCTGAACAGTTGATGTTGAGATGTGCCTGTTACTTGAACTCTGTGAAGCATTTATTTGGGCTGCAATTTCTGAGGCTGGTAACTCTAATGAACTTATCCTCTGCAGCAGAGGTAACTCTGGGTCTTCCATTCCTTTGGCGGTCCTCATGAGAGCCAGTTTCATCATAGCTCTTGATGGTTTTTGCGACTGCACTTGAAGAAACTTTCAAATTTCTTGACATTTTCCGTGTTGACTGACCTTTATGTCTTAAAGTAATGATGGACCATCGTTTTTCTTTGCTTATTTGAGGTGTTCTTGCCATAATATGGACTTGGTCTTTTACCAAATAGGGCTATCTTCTGTATACCCCCCCCCCCCCCCCCCCACCTTGTCACAACACAACTGATTGGCTCAAATGCATTAAGAAGGTAATACATTCCACAAATTAACTTTTAAGAAGGCACACCTGTTAATTGAAATGCATTCCAGGTGACTACCTCATGAAGCTGGTTGAGAGAATGCCAAGAGTGTGCAAAGCTGTCATCAAGGCAAAGGGTGGCTGTTTGAAGAATCTCAAATATGAAATATATTTTGATTTGTTTAACACTTTTTAGGTTACTACATGATTCCATATGTGTCATTTCATAGTTTTGATGTCTTCATTATTATTCTACAATATAGAAAATAGTACAAATAAAGAAAAACCCTTGAATGAGTAGGTGTTCTAAAACTTTTGACTGGTAGTGTATTTTTGCGGGTTCTTTTTCATGTGTGTGCATTTGTTTGTCTGCAAGTCTGTCTGTGTGCGCTTGCTTTTGTGTGTATTAGTATTAGTATTTGTGTGTGTGTGTGTGTGTGTGTGTGTGTGTGTGTGTGGTGTGTGGGTGTGTGTGTGTGTGTGTGTGTGTGTGTGTGTGTGTGTGTGTGCGTGTGTGCGTGTGCGTGTGCGTGTGCGTGCGTGCGTGCGTGCGTGTGTTTATATGCAGAGGGCAGTGCGGTGCTGGCACACAGCTGGAGTGCGTCAATGTTTGGGCGTGAGACCAGACCGCACTGCGCACACACACACACACACACACACAGACATACACAGACAGACAGACACACACACATACACACATACATACACAGACAGACACACACAGACATACATACACACACAGACAGACACACACAGACAGACAGACAGACACACCCAGACAGACACACACAGACAGACACACCTACACAGACAGACACACACAGACATACACACACAGACATACACACACAGACATACACAGACCGCGCTGCTGACACATCACAGGAGCAGGGAGCGCCACTGGGCCTCTCTGTGACCTCATCAGCCAGCGGCGGGCAGGGCACCACTCTGATCACACTGCCAGCTAGGATGGAGAGGAGAGGAGAGGAGAGGAGAGGAGAGGAGAGGAGAGGAGAGGAGAGGAGAGGAGAGGAGAGGAGAGGAGAGGAGAGGAGAGGAGATATCTTGTAATTCTCAAGTCAGGTTTGAGAGGTTCTGCTTTAAGCTGACAGTATACAAATGCTTTTCAGGAGATACCAAAGTGGTCCATTCTAAGCCCACAGAGAAACAGCCCACTGGGCTCAACATTGTTTCAATGAAATGAAATGACGTGACGTGGAACCAACGTGGAATAGACATTGAATTGACATCTGTGCCCTGTGGGAGGGCCTTCAGGTTGTGTCTAATCTTATCTGGTCTTTGCACATAAGATGTGCCCTGCAGTTGGAGATACACACCTACTTATTAACAACTTAACCTCATCCCTTCTGACTGCTGACTCTCTGCTGTTCTATTGGTAAATAAGCCCATGTGTGTGTTCAGCCACAGAGTTCGCCAGCCAAACCCTGTGTTACCCTGCTCAGCCTTGCCCCTAGCAGTGGTGTGCCACCACACACACACTCGCTGTCGGTTCTGGGTGTGTCCGGTGTGCGTGCCACCCAAAACAGTCCCAGCTGAGGTGCATTAAAAGCTCATGACCACAGCAGATGACCTGTGGAACACTGATCACCCAAACTTCCCCTCTCTAACTCTCTCTTATCCGTCTGCTTCAAAGAGCGAGAGCTTGAGCCACCGCAGTGGAGCGCCTTAGCCTCCCTCTGACACGGCTCTATCAGAGATCACACTCACAGGGCTCTTGGCAGACGACGAAAGAGAAATCCTCAGCCTCAAACGGATGAGCGTTTGGTTCTGTCCTGAGGAACCATGGAGTTCTCTCTGATTCGATATGGACTCTTTTGGGTCTCCTGGGAGTCACGTAGAACTAGTTTATTCCTCTCTGATTTGAACAGGAACTGTGATAACTATAAAGAGGATTGAATGAAGCCTTGTTCTGTTGGTTTGGCAGAGTTACACTGAGTTTCATACAGTCGTTCCAAGCATATATCTGCTTTTATCCCTCTCCCTGGGAGCAGATTGTAAAGATTATATTGGTTACTGCAGGTCACTGCAGACTCTTTTGATTAAGTGGAAGGAAACGAGATGGCCAGTCAGGAGACAGACAAGACAGTCAGCCTGTGTGTGTGGGTTCATTGCCGGAAGATTTTTCTGAGCCGCAAGGTGCAAACGGCACAAAGTGAAACCAGCACCAGCAGCAAGCAGTTAGGGCGTATGAAAGGTAGAATGAAAGGTAGAATGAAAGGTAGAATGCACAAGGCACTCAAGGGGATGAAAACGAACGAACACAGATTCAGGATGAAAGCTCAGAGAACACCAGGTTTTAGAAAGACAAAAGGGAGGGGGGGGGGGGAGGGGGGGGGGGGGGTTCGGTTCAAGATGAAAGAAAGCTCTCACAGGTAGAAATGACCGCTGAAGGAAGGGACTTTTAATTGGATGCCGGGAGACAAACACTCCAGGCGGAGACATTAGTATGCAAGCGGTCGTGAGAGAGAGAGATCAGGAGATGGGAGAGATAGAGAGAGAGAGGGGAGAGGAGAGAGAGTGAGAGGAGAGAGAGAGGTCGAGAAGAGAGAGGTCGCGCTAGAAGAGGTCGAGATAGAAGAGAGAAGAGAGAGAGAGAGAGATTCGAGAGATAGAGAGAGGTCGAGATAAGCTAAGAGAGGAGAGAGAGATCGAGAGAGAGAGAAGGATGAGCGAGAGAGAGATTCTAGAGAGAGAGAGAGATAGATAGAGATATCTAAGACAGGAGAGAGTGAGAGAGAGAGAGAGAGAGATAGAGAGATTAGAGATAGAGATGAGAGAGAGAGAGAGAGAGCGGCATCACAAAGAGAGTGTTTCTCTCTCACACCATCACTAACACTCACTGTCTCAGTCATTCAACCCATCCCTCTCTTTTCCCCTATAAACACATAAACCATGAAGAACAACCTTCTATGGCTGCTGATACAAATCATTTATTGAGATATTTATATCCCCCTCAGGTTCTCTCTCAAATCCCTCTTGCTCATTGAAAGACTTATGCTAACCTCTCTCTCTCTCTACCCACCCTCTCAGAGTACCCATGTTCAGGCATGCTTGGCATGGTATCAGGCCTGATCACTGACGCCCAGATCACAGCTTCGTCCCACACGGACCGGAGCTGGGTACCCGAGAACGCCCGCCTGCTGACCAGCCGCTCCGGGTGGACCCTGCTGCCCCAGCCCCAGCCTTTCACCTCAGAGTGGCTACAGGTTAAATCAACTATATTAATATACTATTCTTATGGTTTTGCTTTGCAATTGGAGAAAGGTTTGATGGTTATGAAATATTATTGGTTCATATAACATATCACAAGAAATGTTGGTTTTCTGAGAATATATCCTACCTTTACGTACAAAGAATTTGGCCAAAATGATGATGAGATTACAAATAAACAGTTGGGAAACACTTTACTTACGGCATACAGGTATAATGCATTATGATGCTGTCATGAGTATGTATGAACTGCTTACAATGCGTTTCCTCTCCATTCATCTGCAGGTGGACCTGGGGGAGGAGAAGCTGGTACGAGGGCTCATCATCCAGGGAGGGAAACACAGAGAGAACAAGGTGTTCATGAAGAAGTTCAGACTGGGATACAGTAACAACGGATCTGATTGGAAGATGGTCCAGGATGCCAACGGCAACAAGCCAAAGGTAAGGAAGAACTGTTTTCATTGGTTCATTTGTTGACTATCTAATGGGAAATGATCTCCCTATTTCCAACTGAAAACCATTCTCAGTGACATTAAGTAAGAATACATTGAGTCAGTTTTCACACATTCTCTGTGCTGTGGCTGTTGAAACATTTATGGAGTCCATTTGGATACTACTTTATAGCACATTAGGATAACCATCTGTAATGTTTCTCCAAGTCCTACTGCTGCCTAGTCTCTATCCTCTTAGTATTCTGCTGCTGTTGCTCAAGCTTTTCAGTGGAAGGAGCGTGTGACACACAGAAACGATCCTAGATGTATCTGTCGGTGTCGGTATGCTTTGAGTGTGTCACACACGCACAGTGCGTTACACACACACCTCGCACACACACAGATGCACACCTCCAGGAAGTACCTCTGCAGTCCCCAATTACAACCTTCTCCAACAGGATGTACTCTAAATGTGTTCCAGATCACCTGATGGTTGATTTATGAAGGAGTGAGAGGCTCGATATCTTCCTGTCCTACTTATCCCTCCATCTCTCCCTCTTTCCCTAAGAACCTCCGAGCATCAAAGACAGACGAGACGTGTTCCAGTGTTAACGGTCATTAATCCACTACACTCCATCACTGTTCTCTCCTTTACCACTCGTCTACCTCTCCTTTCTTCTCTTTTCCTCTCCTGTCCTCTCCTCTACCTCTCATATCCTCTACTGTCCTGTCATTTCATTTCCTCTCCTCTACGTGTACCTCTGTTATTCCCAAAGAGAATCCTCCTTTCTTTTTCAGATGACAAGATCAGAAGCTGAGCAGAGAGAGAGCATCAGTCCTCTCCTCTATCATACCTCTTCTCTACATTATTCCCAAAGAAAAGGCCCCTAGCCTCTCTCTTTCCTCGAAGTAGAGTTCAGAGGATGAGCAGGGACAGAGTGAGCTGAGGCTGTCCTTGACCTCTGTGTCCTGCTGGGGCGGCTGGTGCTAGTTGTAGCCAACAGGCTCTCGTTTGCAGTCCTACTGACAGTGCTTTTTAGATGTCAGCTGGAGAAATCTGGTCAATCTTCCCTTATTTTCTCCCCTCTCTCAGCCCTGCTCCTTTTCAAAAGGAAGGAATAAGTGTTCCTTAGGGTCTCTGTGATAGGAGAGAGACATCAGACATTATCAGACAGTAATATTGCTCTCTTTCTTTCTCTCTCTATCTGTATCTGTCTCTCTCAGCCTCTCTCTCTGTTGCAGTGTGTATGGTAGAGGACTTCTCCTCTGCTGTTGTCTATGAACTAACACAGATGGTCCTCTCCACAGATTTTCGAGGGGAATCAGAACTATGATACACCAGAGCTGAGGACCGTGGAGCCCTTGCTGACCCGATACATCAGGGTTTACCCAGAGAGGTCCACCCCTGCTGGGATGGGCCTGCGACTCGAGCTTCTGGGCTGTGAGATCGAAGGTAGGCCTCAAATGGAATCCTACACACACGCACATCAATTGTAGACACATGTAGACTACAAACACACACGCACACCAGTGGATGCTGCTGAGGAGAGGACAGCTCATAAAATGGCGGGAATGGAGTCAATGGAATGGTATCAAACACGTAGTTCCCATGTGGTTGATACCATTCCATTGACTCCATTCCAGCCATTATTATGAGCCATCCTCCCCTCAGCAGCCTCCACTGACGCACACATACACACACACATCTTCTATCATCCGTGTGATGACAGTTCTATGACTGAATGCATGGTGTTTGTTGAGGTGGGGGTATTCTAAGGATTCCCCCTGTGGAGTCAACAGCTGTCCCAGGCCCACTAGGCCCCACTATCTCTCCCTGAGAGGGACAGTTGTCTAGTCTCCATGCATGCTGCATCAAAGCCATTCCTGAAGCAAGACCGCTCATACATATTACATGGGATCAAATGAAACCCCATCTGCCCTGAGGATTACTGCCAACCCCTTCTAGTCCCTGTTCCATCCTTTCTCTGGGGCCAATCTCCAACTTCCTCCCTCCCTGCCTCCCTCCCTCCCTCTTTCTCTCTCTCCTCTCCCCTCTGTCTGCCTCTCTCGCTCTCTGTCTCGCTCTCTTCACCTCTCCCCTCTCTCTCTCTCTCCCTGTCTGTCTCTCTCTCTCTCTCTCTCTCTCCACCTGTCTCTTTCTCTCTCTCCCCTCTCTGCTATGAGAACATGCTCTGGCGGGCCAGGCCTAAGTGGGTTTACATATTGGATTTCAGGGAGGCTGTAGCAAGCACAGCCCTGTGTAAGCCATGGAGTCCCACTGGGGCTTTAGAAGGATGATAATGCTTGTTTTCACTGTTAATGCCACCACACACTCAAACACACACACAAAAACACACATACAAAAACACACACATAAACACACACACAGGTATGTGAGTGGTGGTGTGTAAACTAAGACCCAGGAGTACAGCTAAATCCATCTTTCTCCAACTAGAGCACTGACCCTGTCACTGACCCCTCCACCCTGAATCTGACAGAGGTTGATCACTCATATTTCATATAGCAGAGGGCGAGGGGAATTCTCGATTACACATGCACTCTTTCCTTTCCCTTTCTCTCTCAATCTCCCTCTCTCTCAATCTCCCTCTCTCTTAATTTCCTACTCTCAATCTCCCTCTCTCTCAACATCTCCCTCTCTCTCAATCTCCCTCTCTCTCAATCTCCCTCTCTCTCAATCTCCCTCCTTCCCTCCCTTCTTCCCTCCCTCCGTCCTGGGGAAGCCTGCTCATTACTCTGTCAGGGTAAACACATCCAGGCTGTGTGTTAGCGGAGCGTGGATCAGAGCTGGGGCCGTGCCCACATCCAACGAGGCCAGTGGTCCCTAATGATAGGCCAGGGTGGGGCCCAGCCTCCAGCCCAATTCTAGACCCATGCATCTGATCTCCAGCCTAAACCAAAAGCTAGACTGTGTTCCAAATGGCACCCTATTCCCTAAGTAGTGGCCTGGTCAAAAGTAGTTCACTATATACAATGCCTTCGGAAAGTATTCAGACCCCTTGATTTTTCCACATTTTGTTATGTTACAGCCTTATTCTAAAATGGATACACACAATACCCCATCATGACAAAGCAAAACCTGAAAAAAAAAGGGAAATATCACATTTACATAAGTATTCAGACCCTTTACTCAGTACTTGCCTCCCGAGTGGCGCAGTGGTCTAAGGCACTGCATCGCAGTGCTAGCTGTGCCACTAGAGATCCTGGTTCGAATCCAGGCTCTGTCATAGCCGGCCGCGACCGGGAGACCCATGGGGCAGCGCACAATTGGCCCAGCGTCGTCCAGGGTAGGGGAGGGAATGGCCGGCAGGGATGTAGCTCAGTTGGTAGAGCATGGTGTTTGCAACGCCAGGGTTGTGGATTCGATTCCCACAGGGGGCCAGTATGAAAAATAAAAAAAGTATGTATGCACTCTGGATAAGAGCGTCTGCTAAATGACGTAAATGTAAATGTACTTTGTTGAAGCACCTTTGGCAGCAATTACAGCCTCAAGTCTTCTTGGGTATGACGCTACAAGCTTGGCACACCTGTATTTGGGGAGTTTCTCCCATTCTTCTCTGCAGAACCTCTATTTGCCTCGATCCTGACTAGTCTCCCAGTCCCTGCCGCTGAAAAACATCCCCACACCATGATGCTGCCACCACCATGCTTCACCGTAGGGATGGTGCCAGGTTTCCTCCAGACGTGACGCTTGGCATTCAGGCCAAAGAGTTCAATCTTGGTTTCATCAGACCAGAGAATCTTGTTTCTCATGGTCTGAGAGTCTTTAGGTTACTTTTGGCAAACTCCAAGCGGGCTTTCATGTGCCTTTTACTGAGGAGTGGCTTCCCTCTGGTCACTCTACCATAAAGTCCTGATTGGTGGAGTGCTGCAGAGATGGTTGTCCTTCTGGAAGTTTCTCCCATCTCCACAGAGGAGCTCTAGAGCTCTGTCAGAGTGGCCATCGGGTTCTTGGTCAACTCCCTGACCAAGAACCTTCTCCCCCGATTGCTCAGTTTAGCTGGGCGGCCATCTTTAGGAAGAGTCTTGGTGGTTCCAAACTTCTTCCATTTAAGAATGATGGAGGCCACTGTGTTCTTGGGGACCTTCAATGCTGCAGAATTTTTTTATACCCTTCCCCACATCTGTGCCTCGACACAATCCTGTCTCGGAGCTCTACGGACAATTCCTTCGACCTCATGGCTTGGTTTTTGCTCTGACATGCACTGTCAACTGTGGGACCATATATAGACAGGTGTGTGCCTTTCCAAATCATGTCCAATCAATTGAATTTACCACAGGTGGACGCCAATCAAGTTGTAGAAACATCTCAAGGATGATCAATGGAAACAGGATGCACCTGAGCACAATTTCGAGTCTCATAGCAAAAGGTCTGAATACTTATGTAAATAAGGTATTTCTGTTTTTTGTCATTATATGGTATTGTGTGTAGATTGCTAAGGATTTAATTTGTGGAAAAGTCAAGGGGTCTGAATACTTAACGAAGGCGCTGTAGGGAATAGGGTGCAATTTGGGACACAAACCTAAAGCCTCAGCATCCACCATCCACCATGCACCATGCACCATGCACCATCCACCATCCACCATCCACCATGCACCATGCACCATGCACCATCCACCATGCACCATGCACCATGCACCATCCACCATCCACCATCCACCATGCACCATGCACCATCCACCATCCACCATCCACCATCACCATGCACCATCCACCATCCACCATCCACCATGCACCATGCACCATCCACCATCCACCATCCACCATCCACCATGCACCATGCACCATCCACCATGCACCATCCTCTGTAGCTCAGCTGGTAGAGCACGGCGCTTGTAACGCCAAGGTAGTGGTCGATCCCCGGACCACCATACACAAAAAAATGTATGCACGCATGATGTAAGTCGCTTTGGATAAAAGCGTCTGCTAATGGCATATTATTATTATTATTATTACCATCCACCATGCACCATGCACCATCCACCATCCACCATGCACCATCCACAATTCACCATCCACCATGCACCATGCACCATCCACCAGCACAATCCACCATCCATTGTATGTGTTTGTATATGTTTGTGTGTGGTGTATGTTTGTGTGTGTGGTGTATGTGTGGGGTGTATGTGTGGGGTATATTTGTTTGGTGTGTGTGATACCGCAAACCCTAAAAAGGAGCAGCTGAATGCAAGTTTAACATGTCCTTTCTTTTTCTAACTCTTTCTCTCCCTCTCTCCTCCGCAGCTCCCACCCTCCCCCCCACCACGCCCGCCCCCACCACCACCCCATCAGACGACTGTGATGATGACCAGGCCAGCTGCCACAGTGGAACAGGTGATGACTACGATGTGACAGGTGCTAACATCACTCTCATGAGACTGCTACCTCCCCTACCCCTCTACCTCTACTCTCGCTTTATACTAAGCCCAACATACACCCATAAACACACACACCGGCAGAGACACAGACAGACACACACCTAATCACCTGCACCTGCAACCCCATCTTCCTCCAAAAACTATTTCCCCACTACAACTCCCCTTTTACAATCTAATGAGAAACCTTATCTCATGCACCTGAGACCCTGTCTACCACCCTCACCCCAATGTCCTCCCTCTAACACACACACACCTGAACAGCCCTCTCACCTGCACACGTCTGCCTCTCCCCCTCCTCCCATCCCCCACCCAGCTGTGTTTCCCTCTCAGCCTTTTATCTCTCAGCAGCCTTGTTCTCTTTCTAGCCTGGCCTCTTTCCCCACTAACCTGATTATAACCTGACTTACTGCCCCTGAGTTCCACCTTTCTATACCTCGCTGTTCCCTATGGATAATCCTGTCCCAACCGGCACCCTATTCCTTTTATAGTGTACTACTTTTTCCCAGGGCCAATAGTAGTGCACTACATATGGAATAGGGTGCCATTTGGGACATAGCCATGGAGTTCTCTCTTTGGCTATTCCTCTCCCCTAACCCCATTTCAAAGCAGCAATGAGTGATGTGCATGGCACTCTCAGTCACTCTGGTTCTCTCCCTCCTGGCCCTACATATAGTGAAAGAGGGAGTGTGGAAGTGTTTGGCAGGAGTTAAGAGACATAGAAGGAGAGGGGGCATCCGTTTGGCACCAGAATAATGTGTTACGGCTAGGCTAACTATGCTATGTTTTATGTGTTACGGCTAGGCTAACTATGCTATGTTTTATGTGTTAAGGCTAGGCTAACTATGCTACACTGTTATGTGTTACATTTTAACATTTTAGTCATTTAGCAGACGCTCTTATCCAGAGCAACTTACAGTTAGTGCATACATTTTCATACTAGGCTAGGCTAGTCTCTAGACAGATGGGTTGCCTCCCACAATGTAACCAATGTTCCTAGCGCTGTTGCCCTATGTCTGGGATTTCCCAGACTACGGCTAGGATAACTGTGCAATGCTGTTATGCGTTTCAGCTAGGCTAACTGTGCTAACACTGTGTTCTTACAGGTGGGAACCACAATGCCAGAGGCTATGACAGAGGTGGACACCATCCCAGGTTAGGACCCATTGTATTATGAATGTACTGTATATGAGACTTGTGTCTGTGTGACTGTATGTGTGTGTGAGGGGCTTTGAATGCATGTGTGTGGGGTTAATTCGTGTGTGGGTGGACATCGTTTTTTCCAGTAGTAGACTACTGAAGAAAAATCTGTCCTCTAGTATTCATCAGATGTGAACTGTGGGGCTGCTCATTGAATGAAAAAACCAAAACTATCTTAAGTGTCTGTGTGCCTGAAATGTAATTCCACATGGGAATTCCATCCTTTGTGTTTAATGGGTAAATATATTCTGCTGCCTGCAGAAATTAGTTAAAACCCAGAGATTATTAAAGGGAATATTGGCTCAGATGTTTTATCCTTTGGAGAGCTGGGGCCTTAGTGCTTGCACAGACACAGACACAGGCCTTCTGAGGCATAGCTGACATCCTAAACATATCTCCCTTGTGCTGCTTCTTTGGAAATCTCTTTTTTTATCCAATTTGATAACAGAACGAAGCTCCCCATTGCCCCACTCTTTACACACATACTGTACTCTCAGAAGGCCTTTCAGCTCTGTGTGTGTGTGTGTGTGTGTGTGTGGGGGGGGGGGGGGCTCATTATAAAGCCATCTCTATCAGTATGCTGTACACATAAATACTCTCTTTCTCACTCTTTCTCTTTCTCTCTCTCCATCTCTCTCCTCTCCTGCTCTCTATTCCTTTACTGTTATTGTACACCTTTTTTTATGAGCCCATATCCTATGGAGGACTAAAAGTGCCACAATTAAATAAATAAATACACCATTAAATAATTACTTAAATGTGTCATTAATTAATTAAAATTAGAATTAAATACATAAATGTGTTATTAAATGTGTCATTAATTAATTCAAATACCGATTCATTTTATGTAAAATACATATATAATAATTTCACTATTTACATTTACATTTCATGGTCCTGCGTTGGAGTGCTTCCTGAATTACTTAAAACTGTCAAACTGACCCATCAAAAGTTGGTAGGCGGAACCTAACGCCTGATTGGTTACCCTCTGCATCAAGCCAAGACAAATCAATTCCGGATAATGTCAGCAGGTCCTGCTTCTACATCCTCTGCTAAGTTTAAAATGTCTCTAACCAACTCCCTGGAAAGTTCACGGAGATCCTCCATTGTCTCTATCCAGGTTGGCCTACTCTACTTCAGACCAAAGCAATGGATCAGACTAGATTCGCGTTAGCCCCGCCCACTGACTTTGATGGGTCAGTTTGACAGTTTTAAGTAATTCATGAATCACTGCAATGCAGGATCATGAAATGTAAATGTAAATAGTGAAATAATTATATATGTATTTTACATAAAATGAATCGGTATTTGAATTAATTAATGATACATTTAATTACACATTTATGTATTTAATTCTAATTTTAATTAATTAATGACACATTTAGAATTATTTAATGGTGGTATTTATTTATTAATTGTGGCACTTTTAGTCCTCCATAATATCCCGTTCATGCGCTCTGTTTATTAAAAGAGAACATTAACTGGATTTATTCCACATCTCCCTCCGTGCAATGTCTGCATTGAGCCCCCTACATTCACCCATTTGGCTCTCCCTGATTTCTTGTATATAATCGGTGTATCTCTCTAATGTATCAAGAATAGGAAAATGAGTCTAAAGACTATAAAGAGAAAGGATACGAATCGGGTATATATATGGATATATTAATCAAGTATATGTATATAGAGATGTATATCTATAACTATAATGGTAATATATATATTTCTGTATCATAAAGTTTTACTTCCCCGGTTCATTTCTCCCGTTTTAAAATTAAATTATAAAAAGGGGGTTTTTTTCCGTTAAAACCAAATAAAACCTCCCTTCTTTTCCTCCCGGGGTTTTCTCTTTTTTCCTTTTTCTTTCCTTTTTTTTGCTACTTTTTCCCTTTTTTTTCCGCAACAGGAAACGGGGGGGAAGAAGAGGGGAAAGGGGGGAGAGAGGGAAAAGGGGGGAGAAAAGGGGGGGAGAAAGGGAAGGGAAGAAGGGGGGGGAAAAAAGGGGGGGGGGGGGGGGGGGGGGGGGGGGAAAAAAAGGGGGGGGCCCCCCCCCGGGGGGGGGGGAAAACAAAAAAAAACCCCAAAGCCAATTTTGGGCCCCAAAAAAAAAAAAAACCCCACCCAGAGAAAAGGGAAAGGGGGGAGAGAGAGGGAGCGAGGAAAGGGGGGAAAAGGGAGAGAAGAGGAGAGGAGGGAGAGAGAGAGGAGAGAGAAAGGGGAGAGGCCCGGAAGTACAAGGCGAATAGATATACTATCTATGCCCTGTATCTACTCTGTTCTATATATATATTCTATCAGGTGATACGCAATGTGTATCTGCTAATCTTACTCATATAATATACGCCTAGATATATATATCTATATCGCGATCTCTCTGCTCTATCTCAAGTATCTCACGTCTCTAACTATCTTCGTCGTCTCTATCTCTCTAGATCTATCTCTCTCTCTCTCTCTCCTCTCTCTCTATCTCTCCTTCTCTTCTCTCCTCTCTCTCTCTCTCTCTCTCTCTTCTCCATTCTCTCTCTCTCTCCTTGTCTCTCACTCTCTCCCTGTCTCTCTCTCTCTCTCCCTGTCTCTCGTAGGTGTTTTATTACGCTCAAGCGCCCTTTCCTCTAATATTTGAGTTTCACAGTTCTCTGCTTCCCTCTAGTGATTTACCTAAATAAACCATCTCCACAACACTCACTGTATCTAGTCTAGTGGGCCCTCAGGTCATCACAACTCCTCACTGAGTCATGTTTATACAATGGTCTATTTCAACCAGTTTGTGGTCTGACCCTGACCCCTGACACACTGCAGAATCTAGAATATTTATATGTATCTCTATGTAACACTGTGACCTGTGATCTGTCCCCCTGCTCTGCAGCGTTCCTGTGGTTTGCGTGTGACTTTGGCTGGGCCAACGACCCCTCGTTCTGCAGTTGGACCTCAGAGGACAGCAGCTTCAGATGGCAGATACAGTCCAGCGGGACGCCCACGCTCAACACTGGACCCAACATGGACCACACAGGTACAGACACACAGACACATCAACAACATAAGCTAATGATAACTGTATAAGTCATTTATATCCAGTGTACGTACTCTTCTGACACCTTGTATCACACACTATTTATTTTTCTAAGTCCTTCATGACAAAGCTGGTCATACGTATTCTAACTGTCAAAACCAAGGTTTGGCACTAGGTGATTTGTTTTCCCACCACTACCTTTTAGCTGAAGAGTGATGACATCACATATTCCTTTTCTCATTGGCCCTTGCCCCTTGTCATGTCCCATCCAGGTGGATCTGGTAATTTCATCTACACCCTAGCGACGGGGGCCCAGGAAACGGAGGTTGCTAGGCTGGTCAGTCCGGTGGTGACAGTCGGTCAGTCTGACCTGTGCGTGTCGTTCTGGTATCACATGTTTGGCTCGCACATCGGCACGCTACACATCAAACAGAGAAAGGAGACAGTGGACGGCATGGCCGACATACTTCTGTGGACCGTCAGCGGTCACCAGGGCAACCGCTGGAGAGAGGGACGCGTGCTGGTGCCGCACTCCAGTAAACCCTATCAGGTATGGAGAGAGTTCTCTGATCTATAGGATTGGACAGATCAATGTAGTATGTCTCATATACATTACAACTACATTATATATACAAAAGTATGTGAACACCCCTTCATATTAGTGGATTCGGCTATTTCAGCCACACCCGTTGCTGACAGGTGTATAAAATCGAGCACACAGCCATGCAATCTCCATAGACAAACATTGGCAGTAGAATGGCCTTACTGAAGAACTCAGTGACAAATCTCTGCCCTGCTAGAGCTGCCCCGGTCAACTGTAAGTGCTGTTATTGTCAAGTGGAAACGTCTAGGAGCAACAACGGCTCAGCCGCGAGGTGGTAGGCCACACAAGCTCACAGAACGGGACCGCCGAGTGCTGAAGCGCGTAGCGCGTAAAAATCATCTACCGAGTACCAAACTGCCTCTGGAAGCAAGGTCAGCACAAGAACTGTTAGTCGGGAGCTTGGTGAAATGGGATTCCATGGCCGAGCAGCCGCACACAAGCCTAAGATCACCATACACAATGCCAAGTGTTGGCTGGAGTGGTGTAAAGCTTGCCGCCATTGGCTGGAGTGATGAATCACGCTTCACCATCTGGCAGTACAACGGACAAATCTGGGTTTGGTGGATGCCAGGAGAACGCTACCTGCCCCAATGCATAGTACCAACTGTAAAGTTTTGTAGAGGAGGAATAATGGTCTGGGGCTGTTTTTCATGGTTCTGGCTAAGCCCCTTAGTTCCAGTGAAGGGAAATCTTAACGCTACAGCATTCAATCACATTCTAGACGATTCTGTGCTTCCAACTTTGTTTCAACATGACAATGCCCCCGTGCACAAAGTGAGGTCTATACAGACATGGTTTGTCGAGATCGGTGTGGAAGAACTTGACTGGCCTGCACAGAGCCCTGATGTCCACAGAGCCCTGACCTCAACCCCATCGAACACCTTTGGGATGAATTAGAACGCCGACTACAAACCAGGCCTAATCGCCCAACATCAGTGCCCGACCTCACTAATACTCTTGTGGCTGAATGGAAGCAAGTCCCGGCAGCAATGTTCCAACATCTAGTGGAAAGCCTTCCCAGAAGAGTGGAGGCTGTTATAGCAGCAAAGGGGGGACCAACTCCATATTAATGCCCATGATTTTGGAATGAGATGTTCGACAAGCAGGTGTCCACATACTTTTGGTCATGCAACGTATGTTTGATATGTATAAATGCAACACTTTTTTAATTGCAGGGCCCGTTTCGTTTGATTAGTGCTACTTAGTAATTAGAGAGATGATCAAATTTAATTGGGAAATGAGTTGTTGAGAGGTTGTTCTAAGGTTATTAAAAGGTTGTTCTCTCTTTCTTCCAGGTGGTGATTGAAGGGTTGGTGGAGAGGAAGAGTTGGGGTGATATCGCTGTGGACGATATCAAGATCCTGGACAATCTGAACATGGCTGACTGCAAGGGTGAGTGTTACGTCGCTACATTGATCCTTCAAGCCGGATTTGAACCAGTGACATAAGAACACCAGTCTGCACAGGCCTAACATTTAGGGAATGTTTCGCAGACACAGATTAAGCATAGTCCTGGACTAAAACGCAAACTCAATACAGACTCGCCATTGAAAGTGCTTTTTTGTCCAGGACTAGGTTTAATCTGTGTCCCGGAAACCGGCCCTCTATGTCATGTTCAGTGTAAAGAGTGAGATGATTTTTCTACTATTGTGCTGGAGGGAAGGACTTCTAACTATCTCTCTGTCTTCCTCAACAGATCCTGATGTTCCTACAGAGTCCATGCTGCCTGAAGACAGATTCAATGAAATCAGTAAGTCACATTACATATTGATAGAAAATGTTTGAGATGACTGTAGATTTCACTAATACGTCCATCTGCTCAACGTCTTCCTCACTCTCTCTTCTCTGTAACACACAGCTTAGGAATTTAGTGTTGAAAAATAAGCAAAAAAAGCATTGTCCAAACATATGCAACAGCTATCTACAAAGCTGTAGATTTCTCTGAATAGTGGGATGGTTGAATATGAAATAAATGTTGTCCTTCTAGGTCCCATTACGCCTGTCTACTCACCCTCTTCTTCTTCTCTCCTGTAGTGGTGGACATCACAGATTTCCCTGAGATCGTGGAGAGCAATGAGATCCTCAACGGTGTCAGTGGTGGGGCAGGTAACATGCTGAAGACACTGGACCCTATCCTCATCACCATCATCGCTATGAGCGCCCTAGGGGTCTTCCTGGGGGCCATCTGTGGGGTCGTCCTCTACTGTGCCTGCTCACACGGCCACATGTCCGACAGGAACTTATCCGCTCTGGAGAACTATAACTTTGAGCTGGTGGATGGAGTCAAGCTAAAGAAGGACAAACTCAACTCACAGAACTCATACACAGAGGCGTGAATGGGAAGGGGGAGTGAGATGTGTGTTTGGGGAGTGCAGCGTGCCGTGAGCGTGCACAAGACTGTAGGCATAGCCAAGACTCAATAAGTCGCCGGACCTAAAGGGACTGCCGGAGGCCTCTCATTGGAGGAGGCCCAGGTTCAGGAACCAATGGGAGGTTGTGTCTGATCCATTGCTTTTCTCAGGAGCTGCAGTAACGGGAACCTACCAGTAGGGGACACTGTACAAAATTAAACACAGGAGAAAAAATCTGTACAGATGATTAGATGATTATTTTAATTTTTATAGTTGATTTTCATTCATTTTTACAATCAGATGCTGGTTTTGAGACCAATTTAATGATTATAATGTTTAAAGTATTTATCATTTTCTGGGAGGAAGAAACCATTTTGTTATTATTATTTTAAGTCAAAGTTGTTATTTTTGTGTTGAAAGAGAAGTATCAAAACCCAAAATGAACCATAACTGACAGTGTTGTTGGTCATACTGCCCCATGGGTGGATAGAAGCAGGGTGTGCCCCCTGCCCCCCTGACCCCTGCCCTCTGCCTCTGTCTACAGGTGTGGATCAGAGGTTAAGGGTAAAGGTCACGCCCCTTGGCAGTAGATGGTTCTGACAGTGCCTTTAATACATCTTATTTTGTGTTTTTACCTCCCTTACGTTCTGACAAAGTTCTGACAACATTATGACAATGATCTGACAACTAAAGCAGGGGCTTTAAATTAGCTAATAATCAAGTCTGCAAAACATGATCCAATAGAATCCATCCATGGCGCTTTTCTCTCTCTGTCCCAGACATACATAATATTGTATATAAGTTTTAATATATTTTAATGCCCTTTTTTAAGAAAGTAAAAGGTAAAAAAAAAAGCTGCAGTATCCCTTTTTCCAATGGGTTGTGTGTTGTAAATACAATCGTTTGACTGTTGTTGTGAAGAGTGAAGTGTTGTGGCTTTATTGTTTAATTTCGTTGCTCTCCAGAAGAGAGAGCAGACTCTGTGTGCTGTGTGAAGATAGACCGCTGTTATGACAATTCAGTGCACATTCAAAGAAGACTTGCTTGTTGAAACTGACTGAGCAGTCAATGTCATCAACGTTTTCTAGATGCAATCCATTTCATGACACCATGGAGGGGACAACGAAGAAGTGATCATAAACACAAATGAAAAAAGACAAACAGTTGTATTCATGTTATTAACTTCTATACACTAACTAACATATGGCAGCCACACACCCCTATCCTCCTGTCCTCACACAGGGTCTGTCATCTTTTCTCATATCAACAGCAGCAGGAGAGAAAGATATGTGGAATGTCTGTCTGCCAGCATACCAAAAACAACCATTGCTTTTGCTTTGCTTTAGCTATATGGAGTTGACCAATGGGTATGGGGTGGCAGGTAGCCTAGCGGGTTAGAGCGTTGGGACAGTAACCGAAAGGTTGCTTGTTCGAATCCCTGAGCTGGCAAGGTGGAAAAATCTGCTGTTCTGCCCTTGAGCAAGGCAGTTCACCCCCACAACAACTGTGGATGTCGATTAAGGCAGTCCCCTTCAGAGGGGTTTAATGCGCAAGACACATTTTGGTTGAATGCATTCAGTTGTGCAACTGACTAGGTATCCCCTTTACATTTTAGTCATTTAGCAGACGTTCTTATCCAGAGCGACATACAGTTAGTGAGTGCATACATTATATGTTTTTATTTTTTCATACTGGCCCCCCATGGGAATCGAACCCACAACCCTTTCCCAGGCATTTGTGGATTGTCCTACAAAAAAAGTGCTACCTTTTATGACTTGCAGCTTAGAATGCACTTTGTCATTCAACATCTAAATCCTCACTAGGGGCTTACTGAAGAATGGTGCTTTCACATTCACACAGCGGGCTAGATTCTCATAATCATGATCACAGATTTGTATTGTGTTGTCACATATTTGACTCATGATCACAGATGATCGGCCTAGGTTTACGCCTATAAAACGTGTAGCAGCCAAACTTTGTGATGTCAGGGCTGATGTCATGAGGAAAGGACTCTGGTACAGAGCTAAGCGGTCGAGTGATGTCATCATGCATGGCAAATCAAGTCACTCGCCCTGTTGTCTTTACCAAAGGATGATTGGATACCTTTTCTACTTGGGGAGGTGTTTATTATCAACACACTACTACTGGACGGTCCGCAGCATTTCAACCACAACCACACCTTTTTCAATAAACGTTCACACTAAATGGACCTCTTGCGTTGCACTGACTGGAATGGACTCCTGGCAATTTCAAAAAGGGGAAGGTGGGTTGACTAGAAACTACAATGTTTGATGGTTCATTTTATACATGTTTTTCAGCTGAAGTTGCATATCTGGTGTCAATGTGAACTCTATGAAATCTCTTGAGACTCTTGGTTTTCAGATCTACCGATGGCAATGCTCCAAAAGAGTTTTGGATGGGGAAGTAAGGGGTGCGGTAGAAAGGACTTAGTAAGAGGCTCACAGTATCAGGTCTGAGGAGGACTTGGAAAGGCCCATTGGATTTTCTACACCACAACAATCAGAGACATAATGATGTTGAACAGGAGGACATCTGCTATATCCGTGTGCTATGTCGTGTGCTGTGGTGAACACATTCTCAGCTTGGCTTTAGTTGATTTCAGGTTTGATGTCCCACTTAGCAATGCTTACTGTTTTGTGCATTCAGCTTTGAGGACAGTATCCTCAGTCTGGTAACTAGAGAAAAGGATACTGTAGGGTGGAAACAAAAAATAAACAATGTTGCACTGATAAATATATTGAAGAAGTTTGTGTTTATAGCATTCATTTGTAAAGAAAATCTAAAACTGAAAAAAAAGTTAATTTTCTTCTTTTTTATAGTTTCAGATTGTGATATAATTCAGAAATGTACAAATTGAGATGTTTTCATTATTGAAAAAGGTATAAAAATGTCCTATAGTAATGTCCCCATTTACCTGGATTATTATTGCTTCGTTTTGTACTGTCATTCAAATTTTGTGCACATTTTTTTTACAACAAAAAAAAACTTTTATTTTCAATACTGCTTCTGTAATTTGCTGTTGTAGGAAAATATTAATAAACAGCAAGGCCTTAAAAAACTGGACCGAACATTTGTATTGTTAGGGTTGTGGTTGATAGGACTGTATTTTGAGGTGAACATGCTGGTGGTGTGGGCTACTGTGGAGAGGTGTTGATAACACAGGAGGATATGGAGGCAAAGTTAAAGGGCCAATGTCCAGTTTATATGGTAGGAATGAAAGGGTGACATATGTTACAAGGTTCTGGATGGTTGATCTACAGTTGAAGTCGGAAGTTTACATACAGCTTAGCCAAATACTTTTAAACTCAGTTTTTAACTATTCCTGACAATTAATCCTAGTAAACATTCCCTGTCTTAGGTCAGATAGGATAACCACTTTATTTTAAGAATGTGAAATGTCAGAATAATAGTAGAGAGAATGATTGATTTCAGATTTTACTTCTTTCATCACATTCCCAGTGGGTCAGAAGTTTACATACACTCAATTAGTATTTGGTAGCATTGCCTTTACAATTCTTTAACTTGCGTCAAACGTTTCGGCTAGCCTTCCACAAGCTTCCCACAATAAGTTGGGTGAATTTTGGCCCATTCCTACTGAGAGCTGGAGTCAGGTTTGTAGGCCTCCTTGCTCACACACGCTTTTTCAGTTCTGCCCACAAATGTTCTATACGATTGAGGTCAGGGCTTTGTGATGGCCACTCCAATACCTTGACTTTGTTGTCCTTAAGCCATTTTGACACAACTTTGGAAGTATACTTGGGGTCGTTGTCCATTTGGAAGAACCATTTGCGACCAAGTTTTAACTTCCTGACTGATGTCTTGAGATGTTGCTTCAATATATCCACGTAATTTTCCTTCCTCAAGATGCCATCTATTTTGTGAAGTGCACCAGTCCCTCCTGCAGCAAAGCACCCCCACAGCATGATGCTGCCACCCCCATGCTTCACGGTTCTTCAGCTTGCAAGGCACCGTTTTCCTCCAAACATAACGATGGTCATTATGGCCAAACAGTTCTATTTTTGTTTCATCAGACCAGAGGACATTTCTCCAAAAAGTACGATCTTTGTCCCCATGTGCAGTTGCAAACCGTAGTCTGGCTTTTTTATGGCGGTTTTGGAGCAGTGGCTTCTTTCTTGCTGAGCGGCCTTTCAGGTTATGTCGAAATAGGACTTGTTTTTACTGTGGTATAGATCCTTTTGTACCTGTTTCCTCCAGCATCTTCACAAGGTCCTTTGCTGTTGTTCTGGGATTGATTTGCACTTTTCGCACCAAAATACGTTCATCTATAGGAGATAGAACGGGTCTCCTTCCTGAGCGGTATAATGGCTGAATGGTCCCATGGTGTTTATACTTGCATACTATTGTTTGTATAGATGAACGTGGTACCTTCAGGCATTTGGAAATTGCTCCCAAGGATGAACCAGACTTGTGGAGGTCTACAATTTTTTCCTGAGGTCTTGGCTGATTTCTTTTGATTTTCCCATGATGTCAAGTAAAGAGGCACTGAGTTTGAAGGTAGGCCTTGAAATACATCCACAGGTACAGCTCCAATTCACTCAAATGATGGCAATTAGCCTATCAGAAGCTTCTAAAGCCATGGCATCATTTTCTGGAATTTTCCAAGCTGTTTAAAGGCACAGTCAACTTAGTGTATGTAAACTTCTGACCCACTGGAATTGTGATACAGTGAATTATAAGTGAAATAATTTGTCTGTAAACAATTGTTGGAAAAATTACTTGTGTCATGCACAAAACCATAGTTTGTTAACAAGAAATTTGTGGAGTGGTTGAGAAACAAGTTTTAATGACTCCAACCTAAGTGTATGTAAACTTCCGACTTCAACTGTATAAACAAGGTAAAGAACATACATGGTAGTCAAACTATAAGAATACAAATAAACCCAAATGTATACTCTCAATATAGCAGAATAATGACTACAATATATACTGTATGAAACAGCATG